GTAGACAGTGAAGTTATAATTTCCTTTCTATGGAAACATTACGATACAAATGTAACCGCTATTCGGTTTAATCCTCCTCACCGAGAGGAAGCTCTGCTGGCCGCCGGACTTATATGAAGCTCGTTTGCGAAACTGTATTATAAACAAAGCAGCTTAAAGGAATCGTCCGCCATTCAGAGAATAAAAAAATAAATACATACATGCGCATTGATGAAAGAAATATTTGCGTTTGGAATCTGGCGGACCCCGCATGTTGCCCCCATGTTTTGTATGTGTCTTGTAGCCCTGGTGAGCAGTGCCGGTGCTAGGATTCTTGCCTACACAGGCTATGTACAGAGGAGCTTACACTCTAATGTCCCCTCCCCCACAGTCACATCAGTCTCTGTACAGAGGAGCTTACACTCTAATGTCCCCTCCCCCCACAGTCACATCAGCCTCGGTACAGAGGAGCTTACACTCTAATGTCCCCTCCCCCCCACAGTCACATCAGCCTCTGTACAGAGGAGCTTACACTCTAATATCCCCCTCCCCCCACAGTCACATCAGTCTCTGTACAGAGGAGCTTACACTCTAATGTCCCCATCGGGAAGGTAACGTAAGCTGCGGACGGACATACGGACAGGTAAGATACACCCTGGATGTAATATCATCCTGGCACAGTCCGGGCTCCCTATGTCCTCCTCACACCATCATCAGACATTTCTCTCCCGCGTACAGGGGTGCGATCATTTCACAAGGCCCTGACACTTTCTCTCGGCTCTCCGGATTGCGCACGGGGCTGGCTGAGGGGCCCCTTCATGGTTTTGCGGGGAGCGTTTATGTTCCCCCTTCCTCCCCCTCCCGGTTTTATGGGGCATGAAGCAAGGACATGAAATGCTGACCAATATCACGTTTCCTCCGTAAGGACAAAGAGATACTGTTCACCAATATGTCATCTGGCCGTCTCCTTCTTATTGTTACTTACATGGGCAACGGAGTCTTCAGCCTGCGATGAGAAAGCCGGTTTGGAAAGTAAGTGAATAACTTTATTGTCCTTGGATCAAGTGCACATTTTTTTTTGCTTGCTGTTTAGTATTTTCTTTCCTGCATTTCATATATGGATTTTCAAGTGCTCCTCCTCATAGATCAGGACTGCTGAGATCGGCTCTGTTAGCTTCAGGGGGAGTGTATTGTTTTCAGTCGGTTGGACATGGCCTACGGCCTTGCAGGAAACCACTGTGCCTTACAATAGGAAGCAGGGGCTGCACATGTAATGATCTAGCATGGCTGCCCTCTGTACTTTTGCTATAGCCTTTTCTGCAGTACTCACCTTCAATCTAGGCATGCAGTACTATTTTCCTGCCACTAGATGTCCTCAGGCTTCTGGAGTGAATGACAGCGGCATCGTTCAGCCTACTGTTTCCGAGTCCAGGCTGTCTCAGCCCTGCCCCCAGCACAGTGATGAGCTCATCTCTCAGTCATTCTGCTATGTCCTCCTATCAGCATGCTCTGTGAATCCAGGCTGCCTGAGACCTGCCCCCAGCACAGTGATGAGCTCATCTCTCAGTCATTCTGCTATGTCCTCCTATCAGCATGCTCTGTGAATCCAGGCTGCCTGAGACCTGCCCCCAGCACAGTGATGAGCTCATCTCTCAGTCATTCTGCTATCTCCTCCTATCAGCATGCTCTGTGAATCCAGGCTGTCTCAGCCCTGCCCCCAGCACAGTGATGAGCTCATCCCTCGATGAGCTAATCTCTCGGTCATTCTGCTATCTCCTCCTATCAGCATGCTCTGTGAATCCAGGCTGTTTCAGCCCTGCCCCCAGCACAGTGATGAGCTCATCCCTCGGTCATTCTGCTATCTCCTCCTATCAGCATGCTCTGTGAATCCAGGCTGCCTGAGACCTGCCCCCAGCACAGTGATGAGCTCATCCCTCAGTCATTCTGCTATCTCCTCCTATCAGCATGCTCTGTGAATCCAGGCTGCCTGAGACCTGCCCCCAGCACAGTGATGAGCCGATGGCAGGACACATTCAGGTACTTACACTTTTGTATTAAAAAAAAATAAAGCATTGAGGGCCCATTCACACCATTGTGTTGCGGTAATGCACGCTACATGCACCTGTGTGATGCTGTGCCATTCTAAGTGGAACCCCGACGCATGTTGCTGACAGACGTGTGTGGCAGCTCAGTGTAACAATGCGGCCATGCACTAATGTGAGCTGCAGTACATTGCAGGCATGGTGTCGGGACTTTCCCTTACTTTGGAGAGATTTCTCTCTCACTTCCTGTTGTGTCTCCAGGACAGGAAATAACGGGGAATATCCCCCATGAGACACAGACGGCAAACAATAAACCTGACGGGTTCTAGCCAGACGCCAGTTGTTGGAGCACCACCACCGTCATCATAGTACCTAACGCCAAGATGGTGAGTGATGGGAATATATCCGCTGATCTCTCCAGACGGACTGACGCACACTCCAAATAAAAGAGCACTTTATTTCAGCAAAATGGCCATAGCTGGGAACTTGCCGGCTTTTGGCCGGAGGAGCCGGATTTTCACTTTGGCTCCTGGCACAGAAGGGGCGGTGATAGCAGTTGGAGGGGAAGATACTGCTTTCTCCTTCCTCCAATGGCAGCCTACTGTGAGCAGTGAGATGGGGTACCCACCCCAAAGTTCCTTCTCAGTACAGGCGTCTGTCGGAGGGTGGTCGCCCTTTTAGCCGGAGGTGCCGGGTTTTTACTTTGGCTCCCGGCACAGCAGGGGCGGTGATAGATGTTGGAGGGGAAGATTCTGCTCTCTCCTTCCTCCAATGGCAGCCTACTGTGAGCAGTGAGAGAGGGTACCCACTGAAAACAGACCTCCTTCTCAGCACAGGCGCCTGCCGGAGAGTGGTCGCCCTTTTGGCCGAAGATGCCGGATTTTCACTTTGGCTACCTACATGGCAGTTACCATGATAGCTGTCGGGGGGGATTCTGCTCTCTCCTCCCTCCAATGGCAGGCTACTATGAGCAGTGAGAAGAGGTACCCACCCCAAAGCTCCTTCTCAGCACAGGCGCCTGCCGGAGAGTGGTCGCCCTTTTAGCCGGATTTTTACTTTGGCTCCCGGCACGGCAGTTACCATGATAGCAGTTGGAGGGGAAGATTCTGCTCTCTCTTCCCTCCAATGGCAGCCTACTGTGAGCAGTGAGAGGGGGTACCCATGCCAAAGCACCTTCCCAGTTCAGGCGTCTGCCGGAGAGTGGTCGCCCTTTTTCCCCGGTCACATCCTATCACATGACCCTAGTCCCTATTCTCAGCTTCACTGACTAACATAAGTTCCCAGTTATGAAAGTGAGATGGATGGGATGGACTTCCGTCTGCGTCTTCATTGGTGTACACAGTCCTGACTCTCCTTCAATGAGGACTGCGGCTGTCTTCGTGGTCTCGGGTGCCGCCAGCTCCTCCTCATGCGCCGCCACCTTATCGGAGAACGCCAAGTCAACCGGGCAGCGCTCCGTCCGCACACACCGATCGATGTTATCCGCGGCCGACTGCGTTATATCTCCCGCCGACTGCTATCCATCCATTGACCGGGCGGAGGCGAGGAGCGTGTGATTTATTTCCTGCCGCTCGCTGGCAATAACCGGGGCCGGAGAACAGAAAGAGGAAAATTAGACGGCTGGCTTTAATTAGTGCCCTTATCTGCCTGTGCATGAATGGAGATGGAGATAATTAGCTCTGGAGAAGGAGATAATGAAGAGCTGGAAGCAGCCCATGAATCCTAAGCAGTGTCCGGCTCAATCTCATTAACTCCTGCACTTCCTGGGGAGCGCATTTTATGTTACGCGTTATTTCTAACGTGACCGCCATCTTTTTATAACGTGTACTGGAATGTCATCAACTTTGTGCAAATTCTCTTAATACCGAATGTTTATCAAACAGTTAAAGTCTATCAAACGTCCAAACTTCGTTTTTAGAGGTGAGGGACTAGTGCAGATCTGCGCATTTTACAGCCTGTGGACCGCAGCCGGCCCTTGGTCTGTCCAGCATGCCGACCTGCGCTCCGTCATGGCCGGTGCATTCACTGCAAAGGTCGGTGATCGGCCCGTGCTCCTCTTTGGTCCTTGGTTGCTAGGACCGCTGGCTTCCTAGCAACCAATGCTGTCAGGGGTCCTCTATGTCACCTCTCCTACAGTTCCCATCCGTGGACTTTAAAAAAACAATACTTAAAATGGTATGTGGGTGCAGAGTTGTCCCACGGCCGGGTGTCAACTGGAGCGGTTAACCGGGTGACCCCCCGTTGTGACGTCATCGCGCACGTGCGGCGATTTTATTGATACCTGCCCGTGTTGGATGCCGGAGGGGACAGTCACCCGGCAGGATGAGGTAGGCCGCCGGGTCCCCTCCTCTCTCCCGACACTGTCGGGCACTCGGTCCATGACCGAGTGCCCGCCTTTTAGAGGGGGTGACACCAAAATAACTGTCAGTCATTTTGGTGTCACCCCTCTAATGGTGTCACCCGGGTACGGGCTGCACCCCCCTTGTGACGCCACTGTGTGGATGCAGTTGGGGTTTGGCATGTGCAGTTTCCCACACAGCAGTGACTAATGCACCTACCATGTGTTACAATGCGTCAGATGCGTTGCATGCACTACTTTTATCAACTGCACTGCAATGCAATGTACGGTATTACAGCACTGTGTGTTGCAATGCGGTTGATGACGTTGCAGCCAGGAGGTGCGTTTGGGGTGCCATTCTAACAAATGGCAATGCAACTCTCCTGCCGCACTGTAACGCACAGGTTGGTGCACTGTGAGGTACCGTGCATTAATCGGTTTGACCCTCCACAGCCGACCCAGTTTTCCCCATAAAATAATGAATTGCTGTGCCCCTCACAGTCTCTGTACAGAGGAGCTTACACTCTAATGTCCCCCCCACAGTCACTATCATTGTGACATTTCATACGGAATGATGGAACCGTTGCAGGCGGTGAGATAAGCGCGGGTAGGAAGAGCGACTTTGAATTGCCCTAACGGGGTCACAGACACGACAGGACGCATTTTGTTCTCTGGAACTTTCGCAACTTTCCTCGGCACCGCCTGCTGCGAACTCCCGACATCTTACATAAAGATTCCATCGGGGGTCGGAGGGTGCGCGGCGCCGGCTGCCCTACTTCTGCGGCCATTGAGTGACGCTCGGGCGCGCCGGGTGCGGAGGACTGATTGGGACTGGAGAACAAAACACGTAAGACGGCGCAATGGAAATCGATGGCTGATTGATTTTGCTGCAGATGTGAATTGTCGCCGGAGGGGGGAAATCTTTACTTGTGTCCATTCCCTTCATTAGCGGTTATTCAGCACCGCCGACGCGCGGAGTGACTGCCGAGAGTCTGAGCGCCGGGGGGGAGAGGACGGGGCGCGCTGCTCTCCAGTCTATGGGGGCGCTATACCTATACAGAGGACTGAACCAGTCACAATCAGTCTCAGAGTCAGAGGAGCTTACACTCTAATGTCCCCTCCCCCCCCCACAGTCACAATCAGTCTCTGTACAGAGGAGCTTACACTCTAATGTCCCGTCCCCCCAATATTCACCTGCAGATAGTTACCAAAAAAACCTGCAAATTAATTCCCATCAATACGCGGAAATCTCGTACGCCGCGCTATCAGCGCCATAGCGACCCGTCACATGCTGTCCCATATTGTCGCGTCCCTGTCTGGAAATGCAGAGCTGCAGGTTCTGAATGCCAGGCAGCGCGGTCAGCATCTTCGCCGAACGGCTGCTGAGATAAAATCAATGAGTGATCGTTGTTCGGAGCGGAGTTTTATAACCGAACGATGAGCAGAACTTTTCTTTTTCTGCTACGGGTGTCACGAGGACAGGAAGTGAGAGAAAGAAAAAAAGAGGGAAAATGTCTGTCATGTGACACGCGGAATGTTTTATTTTGGTCTGCGTTGTTATATGATCGACATGAATGGCGCGGAATGTTCTGGAAGGCTGAGGCGGCGCTCGGCGTGGAAGATATTCTCACGTGGTGGAGGCGACTGAACAAACTTCCAACCGCACGGCGCCATCAGTCCACATGGCGTCATCAGTCCGCACGGCGCCATCAGTCCGCATGGCGTCATCAGTCCGCACGGCGCCAGGTCTAGGAGGGGTCCCACACATGACAAGGATGAGGTGGGACTCTGAATGCAGCGCAGAATAAATGTCCATGAATGAGGACAACACATATATACTGTACAGGACCTCTTCAGAACCAAGCCTAGATCCGGTCACATATACACAGGACCTCTTCAGAATCCCACCAGAACTCTGATTTCTTCCGATGACGGATT